GCTTGAATAATCCCTGGGTGATTACTGGTGTTGCATGAATTACTGACGATGGATATCTCGATGATTTGTAAGTAATCAATTTATGATAATGAGGAGTTAATTTTTTTATTAAGGAAATTGCGGTTTTCATGCTGTTTGTCGTATTTAATTATTTCCCATTGCGAGTAGAATTCATTGTGCGGATAATTCCTTCTACATTTTCGCAATGAACTTGCGACTTTGATTCTAGCGAAAATAAACCATTTTAAAAAATTGATGTTTGTCGATAAAAAATTGAGGAACAATTTTTTTTTGTCAAGAACAAGTTTTGATGACTTATTTTTATTGAGGAAATTGTGTTTTTCATTCTAGTTCAAATGAATAATTTTTTAAAATCACTTTTTATCTATAAAAAATTGGGGAATTTTTTTTTCAAGAGTAACAATTTTTGATAATTTTTTTTTTCAGAATGTAGAACAGATTCAACTTTAGCGAATGGTCTCGAGGCCGTTGTTGAATCCAACAAGTAATAACATTTTGCTGCTGCCACTGTGCGCAACGTTTGCGGAAGGATAATGACAAGGTGGGACAGAAATTGTCTTTTGTCCATCGTAAAAGGAATTTCAATTGTTATTTCGTTTTCTTTTTTTTTATTCTGTCACGTTTAGGCAAGATCCTGCAGGATTTTTCAAACTGTTGCATAACCGTATTATTAAAAAAATAGACTTCGCCGAAATGTCTCTTTGTCCGCTGCTTAAATTTTCATTGCGCCGGAGTAATCTAGGATTTTTTGCCGACTGATGTTTTCGCCATTTTGCATATGTTCGCGGTCATTACTTTGACGATTATGGGAGGTCATTCCTTCGAGAATTATGTAGTTTCCGATTGAGTGGAGGCAATCATTGTCTTTTTTTTTTCTTTCGTTTTTTGATAATTGGAAAGAGAAAGGGTTGGGAATTTTCCGCTCTGCTCAATGACACATTTATCAATCTGGATTTCCTTGAACTTTTGCGAGCAATCTCATTTTCCCACTCATGGATCACAATTTCAATGAATGAGAATGGGAGAAAGGGTGGGTGATTGCACATTCCTTCCTGGGGCGTCATTTTTAATTCACAAATTCATTTATTTTTATTTTTAATTGAAGTTCTCTGAATAGAAAATTGTCAAAATGAAAAATTTTCGCTAACACAATTGTTGCATGAGAAAAAATCACGAGTGTGTGGAGAGAGTCCATCACAGTGGAATATTTATTAATCAAGTGCAGCAAATTTAATGAAAACAATTAATAATAAATACAATTAATTATTTAATTAATAATTATTAATTAATAATAATATATAATTAGATATAATTATACTAGAAAATATATAATATATAATTTAGATATAATTATAATATATAATTAGATATAATTATTATTAATTAATAATAATAATTAAAATAATATCAAATTATATTATTATTAATTAATAATAGTAATAAATTTACTATTATTTATTTATTAAAATTATTCATTAATCAGTTAAAAAATTTAATAAACGAGAGATTTATTTGTATTAATCTTGACATTTTCTTGAGGTATTTCTCATAATAAAAAAAATTAAGAGACAATAATTTTAGAAAATCGAGTGGATATCGTAGAGCAGACAGAAGTGACTGACGACTCCATTCCACCCGGCAAAGCCCACGCGCCCATAAAGAATCCTCAAAAATCGTACCACAAATTTCTCTGCGATAAATAGTATCGCACCAAAATCCTCCGAATCCGTATTCCTGATGTCGCAACGGTCCCCTCACGTGCGCACTCTCAACATTATCACAAATGAGGTGAAAAATGGCTCATTTGAAGTAAATAAACTTTCTTTTTTTTATTTTATTCTAAGAGAGGTTTCATTTGATGAAATAAAATTTATTTAATTGAAATAAACTATTTTTTTGAGCTGCAGCCGCACTCGTCACTACAATTGCGCAAAATTTTTTTTGCACACAATTTTTTATCGCACATTCGGAATCAAAGGAAAAATAGTAAGAATAATCGAGTCTCCCCGGTTCTTCCACCCGATGTGGAGAATTATCCCACGTTATTATCCTCCACAAATGCAGGGAAAACGCGCAACAATCCGAACAAAACGAAAGTGAAGTAAAAAAACCCCTGAAAAAATCATTTTTGTATTCAAGAATTCCGTTTCCACCGATTAATTCCTAATTCAATCACTTTAAGATCTAGAAAATTGCGGATAGGCATTCAGAGACAATTTACCCCGGACAAGAAATATTTTATGACCCCTTGATTCGCCTAAATCGTGTATTATCTATTTACGTAACGAAAAAATTGTGACCAATAAAAATGAATGGACCCCGGCAATTACGAAATTTCCGATAGAATCCGATGTATTTAACCCCGAGGCGGTTTGTATTGCGGTGAATTCTATCGACCGAATGTTTTTACTACAGTTTTAGGTGAACCGAGTGACACTGCACTGTCACACGCGGGAAAAAAATTTCACTGAAAAACCTAGGAAGTTCGATAGAAAATTCTATTGGATTTCTGGTGAATATATTAGTTTTTTTACTTTTTGTTGTCTTGAATAATTTTTTGACACTGAAAATATTGACTGATTCTGTTAAAGAAATCCGCAGCTTTACGACGCGTTTTTTAATAGAAAATGTCCATTAGACACTATTCTATAGAAAAAATTTGCAGTATTTCATTTTTCTATACAATTTTTTCTATAGAATATCTTCCACTGAACATTTCTATTGAAGAAAACGCACAGATCAGCTGCGGAATTTTGCAATAGACCAAAAAACAAATAGAATTTTTCAATCGAATTCTTATAGAGTTCCAATAGAAATTCAATAGAATAAATTGTACAGGAAAATCTAATTCTATCGATTTATTCTATAGAATATTTTCCACTGAATATTTCTATTGAAAAAAAACGCACAGATCAGCTGCGGAATTTTGCAATAGACCAAAAGCAAATAAAATTTTTCAATAGAATTCTTGTAGAGTTCCAATAGAAATTCAATAGAATAAATTGTACAGGAAAATCTAATTCTATTGATTTATTCTATAGAATATTTTCCATTGAACATTTCTATTGAAAAAAAAACAAATAAAATTTTTCAATAGAATTCTTATAGAGTTCCAATAGAAATTCAATAGAATAAATTGTACAGGAAAATCTAATTCTATTGATTTATTCTATAGAATATTTTCCATTGAACATTTCTATTGAAAAAAAAACAAATAAAATTTTTCAATAGAATTCTTATAGAGTTCCAATAGAAATTCAATAGAATAAATTGTACAGGAAATTCTAATTCTATCGATTTATTCTATAGAGTATTTTCCATTGAACATTTCTATTAAAAAAAAAACAAATAAAATTTTTCAATAGAGTTTTTACTGAGTTCTAATAGAAATTCAATAGAATAAGTTCTATAGGAAAATCTAATTCTATTGATTCATTCTATAGAATATTTTCAATTAAACATTTCTATTGAAAAAAAAATGCGCAGATAAGCTGCGGAATTTTGCAATAGACCAAAAAACAAATAGAATTTTTCAATAGAATTCTTATAGAATCCCAATAGACATTCAATAGAATTTTTTTAAAAACAGCTAGTTTTTTAAAAAATTGGATAATCTGACGCGAGGAATTTCCACAGAAAATATTTCAATAGAATAAGTTGTATAGAAAAAATCTATTTCTAATATTCTATAGAATATTTTCCATTGAATATTTCTATTCAAAAATACCAGATGAGCTACATAATTTTTCAATGAAATCGCACAAAAACTAATAGAAATGCAATAGAATTTTCTAGCGAATTCGCCAGTTTTTTTTGCTGTACGTGCATTACTCCTGGAACTCGTCTGTAGACGTGACCAAGACGAGAATGTGTCAAATGAAAGAGGTAAAAAAATTGAGGGCACTCCGCAGTTGCCCTCGGGAGCGCTGAAATAATGAGTTCGATTTCCGTCAACTGATACCGGTTATCCAACGATTAGCTCTTTTTATCCTTTTCATCTTGCTGGGAAATTACGTAAAGTAACATTTTCACGAGTATTGCATATTATTTTTCGTGCTCTAGGGTAAAAAGCAGCAATGGGCGCTGCGAAATGTGCACGAGGTGAATTAAAATTCTGTCACTCGGGTGGTTTTCAAGCGGGGGAAAACGGGTTTTCAATTAGGTAAAGTGTGACGAGGCGAGAACGTGTCTGTGCCATCATTAGAGGATTTCATGAAGTTTTTGAGTTGAGGTGATTTATGGGGTTCTGTCCGAGAATTGCAGAGTGAATGTTTTGCATGTTTCGCTTGGGAATTTTTCTCATGCGCAATTTTAAATATTTTTATTCAAAGAATTTGAATTTTCAATTTTGTGGATTTTAATTCAATTTTACAACAGTGAATTTTTCACGTCAGGCGATTGTCAAAAATAACAAAATTTTTCATCTGAAAACCAAAGTTCATCTCAGGTCAATTATTCCGTGATAATTTTGTAGAAATAAAAAAAATTCTGGTAAACAATTGTTGAATTTCCAAGTGAAAAATTATTTCATCCCCCTCTCCCCTTTCATTCTCCAAATCTTTTGAAAAGTCCAATTAAACAGCCACAAGTTCCCTCCGAAAATTGTCAAAATCAATTTTTTTACATTTTTAACAAAAAATTTCAAAATTCTAAAAAAAAAAATTGCTGGACGCTCCGAAAAATTTTTGACTGAAAACCCCCCAATTAAGCTCGATTCGCTCTCTCGCAGGTCCGAATATCCACAAAACATTTTTCAATCCTGCGAATCAACGAAATTGGGCTCAATCGCGGGATTTCGAATCGCGAATTTTCCCCCCTCGCCACCCGCTCGCAAAAATCGCGACAAAACCTAATCCGCCCGACCAGAAATCCGCGAAATCCGCTAAAAACCGCACCTCCTCGTCCCCTCGATTTCCATACAAAACCCCGTGTCAAGGATTCCCTCAACTTCCTCCCAAAATAACACCGAATTCACTCACCCACTCTGGAGACGACCGCCAGCACCATCAGCAAGGAGCTAACCAGCAGCATCTCGATCTTGAAAGTCACTCACAGTTGAAAAAAAAAATCCACAGACAAAAATTTAAAAAAACCGCAATTTTCTCCGGGCAAATCTCAGAGCAACGGAGTTAAATCAACGGCTCCCGTTAACCGGTGCAACGTCACTCCCCGAACGCATATAAAAATGTTAACGCGTGCAGTAAACAGGTGAAACTCCGCGTGCGTTTCTCCAAACTTTTCTCCAAAACTGATTACCGATTTTCCTTGCTCTCGAGTATCACTGAATCATTCACAAAAATCCGGTGAATTAAAGAGCCCCCTGTCGTCACCAGTAGCATTAGTCTATTTCCAATCGCTAATTAACGAGATTAATTAAAGATGAAAGACAATCTCTCGCTCACTCACCCACGGCGAGGAGGAGCTGAGGACATTGAATTTGCTTTTTTATTATTCGAGAAAAAATAAGTTGATGATTTTTTTTCGGGGAAACGATGTGCTGCGGACCCGTGTCAGTGCCGCGAGTGGGCCATTGACGATTGTCGGAGAAAAACATATGCTACGGTCACGACGAGAGAAAGGTGACTGGGATAAGTTCTCGAGGCGTGCTCAATACCTCCTCCCCCTTGTCGTGGCATAGGAGTCACCTTTCTATCGTTAAGTTGGTGTAACAAAGAAGGGAGTGTTGGAGGAGAAGGAATCAAATGCAAAAGTGATAGGGGGGCCCGCGGCGGGGGTTTGCCACCACCAGGCTCGATAAAAGCCACCACTCTCCGCGCGGCGAGGAGGAGGGAGGCTATTGCGATTGGGATGTGGGTATCCTTCGGTGTACTTGAAATAACTTGACGTCAGGCTCAGACACTTTTCCTTTTGTTGTGACGAGAGGGGATTTTTTTGGGGGTTTTTAACGGCCTTTGACGGGGGTTTTATCACGAAATTGTGGGGTTGCTAGGGTTTTTTTGGGATTGGGCATATGAACTAGACCTTATATACAATTAACCATCATGATGTTGACATTGCGATTTAACGCGAAATGTGGACTTTGCCATTTAACGCGAAATGCGGACTTTGCGATTTAACGCGAAATGCGAAATTTGCGATTTAACGCGAAATGTGGACTTTGCGATTTAACGCGAAATGTGAACTTTGCGATTTAACGCGAAATGTGAACTTTGCGATTTGACGCGAAATGTGGACTTCGCGATTTAACGCGAAATGTGAACTTTGCGATTTAACGCGAAATGGAAACTTCGCGATTTAACGCGAAATGCGGACTTTGCGATTTAACGCGAAATGCGAAATTTGCGATTTAACGCGAAATGTGGACTTCGCGATTTAACGCGAAATGCGGACTTTGCGATTTGACGCGAAATGTGGACTTGGCGATTTAACGCGAAATGGAAACTTCGCGATTTAACGCGAAATGTGGACTTCGCAATTTAACGCGAAATGCGGACTTTGCGATTCAACGCGAAATGTGAACTTGGCGATTTAGCGCGAAATGTGAACTTTGCGATTTAACGCGAAATGCGGACTTTGCGATTTAACGCGAAATGTGAACTTTGCGATTTAACGCGAAATGTGAACTTGGCGATTTAGCGCGAAATGTGGACTTTGCGATTTAACGCGAAATGCGGACTTTGTGATTTAACGCGAAATGTGGACTTGGCGATTTAACGCGGAATGTGAACTTTGCGTTTGCTCGCGAAGATCGCCGGCATTTGGAAATGACCAGTTAAATTATCCCACAAAAATCAACAAAAATGAGTAAAACGCGAATAAATAGACTCTTAAATGTTCAATTAATCCAAAATTCAACGTAATTTGGTGCTCAACATTCATGTTTATTTAAAAATCGAAGTAATTACCGGAATTCCCTCTTTCCACTGCTCAAAAATCCGGAAGAATTTTCCACAGAATTTTTCCCTGAATATCATTCAATTCCCCCCGAAATTTCAATGTTATTTCCAACAGCGATGTACCTCGCGCTTTGCTCCCCCTGTCGCTAAAATATCCTCCAAACGTCACATCGAAAATCCAATTATCCCCCATTAAATCCTCGTTAAAGGTTGCACCACATCTCTGCCTCGCACCCTCGAAAACATTTTCCCATTAATAATCCATACAATGTTCCCCACTGATTGTGAATTAATCAATCATTTTACGAGCGTTATTTTCCCACCGGTGGGGAAAAACACAAAATGAATTAACCCTGAGCAGTCGCATTGTAGTTAAATCACGCTGAGGTAACAGCGAGGGCGCGGCTCTCGTCTGGGCAGGCAAGGAACCGAAAGCGGGTTTTAAAAAATGATAGAAAAAGATTAACAATGAGAGACACATTGTGAGAGGCGATGGATTTTTGTTGCGATTGCTCTTACGAGTGAACGAGTATTTAATACATTTGTTGTGAGGCACTCGTGCATGTGCACATTAAACTTGGCTTTTCCATTCTACATAATTCTCATCTCCCTCCACCTCTCCTTCCATCTCCTTTCACGTCTCGCGATTACACTGTTTTTACCAACGAGCGAAGAATTCAATGAGAAATACACGTGAGCACCTCCTTCGGTCATTACGCAATGTCTTTAGCATCCCGCGGAGAACGACGGGATGAGGAGGATAATTGAATAATTAATTTTACCAAATCTGGGCATAATTGGAATTAGAGATTGTCGGGGGTGGGAGAATTTTTAGACGGTGAAGAGGTGGCTCTGGGGGACTCTCCTCTGATGTCATAATGTGGGAATTAATTTTTTTCATTTCGCGGGGAATTGTTTCGAGGTTTAATTGGGGTGATCCAGGGGGGGGTGGAGGAAGTGAAATTTTATGGGCCGTTTAGTCGCAATTTTTAGGAGAACGCAGCCAGACGAATCGTTTACCTCAATTAAAACAAGTTATTTGAATCAAATAAATCCTCTATTGGAATAAAAATCAATGGAATAAAAATCAATGAAATCGTAAATTTCAATTCAATTGTAAGTTGATAAAATGATAATTAGTTTCAGGGATCGGCAAAAATTGTTACTAAGTAATTTTCAAAGAAGTTTACCACAGATTAATAACAATTCCGTTTTTTTATGTAAATCTGAAAATAATTTTTAATTCTCAATTATAATTAAGAAATAAATTCTGAATATCTGAATTCGATTTTTCAATTAATCAAATGATCATCATTCTTGCGAATTTGATTACTGATTTGTAAAATATTTGAAAAATTAAAAAATTGAATTTATGATTAATTTAATATTCACAAAATTGAAAATGTTGATCGATAATTAATATAATAAAAATTAAAATAAAATAATTTTGATTCGGTATTTTGATTTTGCCTATTTCTGATTGGTTTCTAGTTTTTCCGTCAAATTAAAAATATTTGGATTGACAGAAATTTTTTTCGTGTGAAATACTATAATGAATAGTCATTAAAGATTTATAATAATTACATTAATTTTGCCTCACACCTCTTTATCATTGAACTTTCGTTGAATGACGGATCAATGAGGAAGATTCAGCGTGAATCATCCTCTTCCCTCGGTGAGAATTCTCATTTATTAATCAAATAAATCTCGCTGGATGAATAAATTCATAATTTACAACATTTTCAAGACGTTAAACTTGAGAATCCAGTATTTTCATTGTCCTTAGCGAAACGGATGTGAGTATAAACCACCGTACGACGCAATTAAACTGGATTTGAGCTTTGAGATTCCTTCCAGTCGTCAGTTTTGCAGTCAAACGGCGAAACAGGATTGGCTAATTTCACTTCAAGATCAGATACGAGTAATTTTCTTGTAAAATCATTTCGCGCGTCTCTCGAGGACGAGACGGAGGGAAAAATGTCAAGAGACGTTTTATGGGGGATTAAATTGTCTATGGAGGAGGTTTCTCGACACTTCCTTGTGGTTTCACTGAATTTCCTGATATTTATGAAGTCGTTTCAGCCGAGAAACAGGGGGAGTCAAATATTTCAAGGATGTAGAAGCATATAATTTAGTAACAAGTTGAATTAATTTTTATGGATAATTAAAATTAATTAATTCTTGTTTTGTTGTTGTTTTTTTTTAAATCTCTAGAAATTTCAGCGATGTGAAGACATTTTTATACACTTTTGGAAGAATTTCCCGAGTTTCATGAATTTTCAAGGAAAAAAAATGAAATAAATGTTTACGGGGATTTTCCGGATTTCTGTCAATTGCCGTGGAATAATTGAACTGAAATTCAGTTTCCATCGATTCTTTCACCGAATTATGAATTTTCAATTACGAAATTCCTTGAAATTTCAGGGGCAAAATTCAAGTGATAAATTTTTTTAAATTTTATTCATTTTTTTTGTTTTCAACAGTGAATTTTTTTAATTGGATAGACCATTTTCATGAGATAATTGATCTGAAATCTGCAGTTTTAATCGATTTCATCATAAAATTCTGAATTTCGAATTACGAAGTTCCTTGAAATTCCAGCTGAAGACTTTCAAACTTAGCGTCCGTGAAATTAGAATCTATTTTTAAAGTGTGTGGGAGGGTGGGGTAAACCGGACACTTGACACTTTTAAAAATCCGCCCGTTTTGGACTCATCGAGGAAAAAAAATTAAGGAACTCGATTGTAAACTCCCGCCCCCCCATTTTTATTTTATTTTATTTATTTATTTAGTTTTCACCAGTGAATTTATTCAATAGTCATCCCCTAGAGCAATACGATTGTCATAATTGAAACCTAAGCAGGCTCGCCTAGGAATGACTCAATCGGAGAAATCCGATTTTGAAAAAATGAATACGTCTCCGAATATCTCGGAATCTAAGGGAGATACCAAAATTTTCGTCATAACCTTTTCTGTAGAGCCGATTGAGAGCTACAATAAATGTAATTACGAAAATTCCGCTATCTCCCTCAGATTCCGAAATATTCCTCAAAAACTCAACTGGGAGATGAGTCGGCTTGAACCGTTTTACTTCGCTCCTGCTTTGACGAAAAGTCAAACGGCAACACGTCCACATTGCCATACCTGAGGAATCTGAGTACTTCACATTTATGCAACTCGATTATAAACCCCCATTTGCCATATTCATGTCCGTCAGATTGGTGCAAGGGGCGCGCAAGTTACCTAAGGTATTAACCTTTCTTTTTGCCTTGACGAACGCACACACGTACAAGGGGACTGATATCCATCGCCTCAGGCGAGTGGATTTTCAAGCCTCCCAATGAGGAAAAGGCGCACTAATCGTTCGTACACTGAGAGAACAACGACGAAGTTCTCAAACAAGTCTCACTCGTGCCAAGAAAATAGTTTTTTGAAAATTATCAAAAAAGGATTTTTTTGTGCCCAACGTGCAGAGAGTGCGCCGGAATGAAAAATTTTTGTCGCAAAAATGGATTTAGTCGTTCAAAAAAAATTGCATTCTCTGTGCACGCAAGAAATGTCATTTCCAGCACTAGTCCTTCGTTATTCAATACTCCCATACGTATTTTGCTCCCGAAAAATCTTTGTTTTATGCGGAACAAGGGACAGTAGTCTTTCGTTTCGGCTGTCTAATAATCACAGACAAGAAATGAACCCTTAAATGAAACAATAATAAT